AATCTCATCATGCTAGTCATATAGCAATAATGTACAAACAATCAACATCTTCATATTGGAATGTTGAAATAGTAGAAACAACCAAATAGAAGAAGTAGTGAATCATATAATTTATCTAATAAGTAGAAACATGAATGAGTGATAAGATTCTATGGTAGTATGCCTTCTCAAAGAGAAGACTCAATCCAATCTCTATAGTCAAGATCAGAATGTAAGAAAAAAAATTTATTCTGTTCTGCTAGTCAGATCAGATAATCATGTCAGCAAAAAAGTAGATGTTGCAGATTTCCCCACTGCAATACATAGTTGAGTCTGAGTCAAATCTGAGTACTACTTTTACTCATTCACAATCTACACTCTGACATTAAGAAGATATCTAGTTTCTGACCATAGTCAAGCTAGTTATTACAAAGCTGTATCATCAGTTTTTCTGTGTATTTAGTTGAATTCTACAGTTTATAGAGCTATTAGATAGTCTTTATAATCTCTGACTACATAAGACTATAATGAATAATAATAATAACATAAGCTATAATGCATATAATTGAATCTTTTATCATATTACTGTAATATTATGGTAATCAAAAAATCCATTTTTCCAGTATGGCCCACATATAATATCATATGTTCCATATAAAAAGTAATGAAATTTGGTAATGCTCTTAGCATATTTCATCAATTTTGCAGCACCACACCCACCCATATATTAGTGCCAGAATCCCAGTTCCAACCCGGTCCCATACCGGCTAAGGAACACACAGGATTCGGTACGCAATTCTTATAGCGGGACGGCGCCGGCCGGGATTAATATCAAATTAGTATGGGATCCCAGTTCCATTATCCCGCCGGGATGGGATATGGGATCAATATGGCTGCCGCCGGGATCAAACTCCAAGCTGAATTCAGGACCGGAACCAGCACACATGGGATTTGGGATCCTGTCCCGGTCCCGAGCACTACTCTAATTGTCAAGGCCCAGTTCAGGTTCAAATACAAAATCACTGAGCTGGTTCTCTGCCATCTGCTGTCAGATGACGCCTCGCGACATTCCTGAGCCTTTCAATCTTAAGGGTGTATGTCTCAGTTCCTGACCTCCCTGGTGCCAGTGCAGACCCCAATATATCTTTTCGCGATATAGTGATTTTTTGTGCAGCAGCAGCGGGGCCGGTCGGGGCAGGGAATATAGTCTCTTCTTGCAGTAATGTTGGTTGCCCATTGGCTAGAGTCCAGACCTCAATCGTCCCGCGTACGATGTTGGAAGAGGTAGATATGGGCTTGAAATCAACAATAAAGACAAATCGCAGGTGCGGGTGACCACCGATGAGCCAGAGGTCGCGATCCCTTTCGAGCTGTGGACGGCGCTCCGACCACGCGCATTCAAGGGCAAGCGTGGGAAGGGGTTGGCTATCTCTAGGCCAAACATAATAATCAGGCTCTTTTATAGATTGCGAGTATTGGCCCCCGAAGTTGCGGAATCCTATGTTGTTAAAATGTCAGAGAAAATAGCTTCGAGTTGTAGGGATATCCTGGACAAACTTGACCCGCTCGCAGTTGATATTCTATCCAGTTCGGCGGTTCGGAGAAAACGGCTGGCTGCCATTCTTCGAACTTCGTTACTAAACCATGCTGCAGCCGAATCATGGGTGAGACTAGGCATCATCACAAAATTGAGATGCAAGGTGCGAGAGTTATATGTCAATCTAGCGAAAGAATCAATAAATAAGGGTGGCGCGAGGGTAGTAGAGGGTGGAGGTACCGAAACAATCGCTCATCGCTTTCATTCAATGCCCGTAACACACCAGACGCGTCCTGAGCCGACACTTGTTTGAACTCCAGCACTGTGTCAGCCTTCCCTGCGGCCAATGCAGCCCTCACTTGGTCGACGATGGTTGGACACTCGACG